CTGTGCCCATTATGAGGGGCTCCCACCATCCCTGTCCCTGTGCTGAGGGTCTGTACACCCGCTGTGCCCATTATGAGGGGCCCCCACCATCCCTGTGCTGAGTTCCCGGGTCTGTACACCCGCTGTGCCCATTATGAGGAGCCCCCACCATCCCTGTGCTGAGTTCCCGGGAGCTGACCCCATGCAGTACTTCATCTTCACAAGATACCACCAGTGTTCCAGGTTAAATGACATCCGGCATCATTCATCCCACTTCCTGTGAGCCCAGGCTGTCTTGGACACACCCCCTGGGGGGCAGGTCACCACACCAGCTTGATTGTACAGGAATCCCAGCAGCACGGCGCTCACACATCATCACGTAACGGCCGGACTGCCGCAGAGGAAGGTCTTTCCTCACTTCCTGTCCTGGTGACACCTGTACCAGAGATGGATTGGGGGGGGGGGAAGGGACACAAGGGATACTTACGCTGGGAAACAATGGCACGCCGTCAGAAGCCACTGATTGGAGATTATGGAGGCTCCACATGCCGGGGCGTACTGGTACCTCAGGTTCACTTGCCAGGGATAATTCTGGATAGATGCGGTATTTCCTCCGACAATGCGATCCTGAACTGCAGACACAGACACAATGAGTACAGTCATGCCCTCCACCTGAAGACATGGAGACAAATCTAGTGCTGATGACCCCGATGATTACCATAGACTTCCATCACTTTGGAGGGATTTCCCTCACTTTCTGTTGCAGCTTATGGACAGGAAGTGAAGGGAAATCTCCCCAATGGGAGACAGATTGCAAAAACAAAAACAGGGGTTCTAACCCTCCCTTACTGTATCCAAAACTAAAAAGGTTTTGGGTTTTACTTTAAGTGCATCTCTAGCCAAACTTTTTTTTTAATGGTTTATGGGAAAGCGTTCCAACCTCTCTACTGCTGTCTGGTACTCTGTCGGGAACATTTTGCTTACTTCCTGTCTTGTTACCAGGACAGGAAGTGAGGAGAAATCTCCATCAGGGACAGAAATGAAAAATTTTAGTTTGATTGGTAAGAGATTGTGAATGTCTCAGTCACCATGTTGTCACTGGACAGGAAGTCAGGGTGAATCTCTCCCATAAGGCTCAGATAGGAATACCTGTCGGAGGGTGAGGGTTACGCCTTCTATTGTCAATCTGGAGCTACACACCCCAAAGATGGGGAGCAGGCGGGATCTCTATCACACATGGGACACGCCATGCCTCTTCCTGCCTGCTTGTTATCTGTAGTATGTACACCGAGCTGCACATGTGCACCACAGCGTGTATTCTCGGCACAATGATGGACGGCCATGAGCATGCGCAGGAGGTTAAAAAATGGCCTATCCCGGAGCTCACACCGACGCTCATTTATTATCCGCTATGAAAATGTAAGTGACAGATAGCCGACTTCAATGTCCCCCCGCCCCCCCCCTCT